TCTCTCGTTACGCGCGCCGCCGCTCGGACTCGCTCGGGACGCAGGCCAGGCGGGCGGAGGGAGGAAGGATAGATGGATAAAGGGAGATAGAAAAGATAGATGGATGAAGGGAGGAAGGATAGGTGGATAAAGGGAGATAGAGAGGATAGATGGATGAAGGGAGGAAGGATAGATGGATAGAGATAGAGGGGGTAGATGGATAAAGGGAGAAAGATTAGATGGATGGAGATAGTAAGGATAGATGGACGGAGGGAGGAAGGATAGATGGATGGAGATAGGATAGATGGACGGAGGGAGGAAGGATAGATGGATAAAGGGAGAAAAATAGATGGATGGAGATAGAATGGATAAACGGACGGAGGGACGCAGGCCAGGCGGACGGAGGGAGGAAGGATAGATAGATGAAGATAGAGAGGATAGGTGGACGGAGGGAGAAGAGATAGATGGATGGAGATAGAGATGATAGATGGATGGAGATAGAAAGGGTGGACAGAGAGGGAAAGGCCGAACGGGCATCTTCAGTGGGATATTTTGATTTGATTTTTTTTCTGAGCCCCGTTGTATTTTCTCCTTCCTACTTTTTAGTCTATTTGTCTCTCCCTTTGCTCTTCCCTTTACTCTTCATTCCCCTCCCTTCTTTTCCTCCCTTTATCCTTTCTCCTTCCCTTCCTTTCCTTCTTCCTTTCTTTTCTTCCCTTTCCTCTTCCTCCCTTTATTTCCCTTTCCTTTCCCCTTCCTTCCCTCATTTCCCTTTCCTTCCACTCCTCCTTTCCTCCCTTTCCCCTTCCTCTTCCTCCCCTTCTTTTCCTCCCTTTCCTCTTCCTTCCCTTATTTCCCTTTCCTTCCTCTCCTCCATCCCTTCTTTTCCTCCCTTCCTTTCTTCCTCCTTGCCTTCTTTTCCTCCCTTTTTTTCCTCCTTCCCTACTTTTCCTCCATCCCTTCTTTTCCTCCCTGTCTCCCTCCCTTCATTTCCTCCTTCCCTTCTTTTCCTCCCTTCCTTTCCTCCTCCCCTTCTTTTCCCTTTCCCTCCTTCCCTCTTTCTCTTTCAATCACTCACCCCCCCTCCTCCCTCTCCCTTCCAGGACTCGAGCCCGCCCCGGACACGCCGCTGTCGCTCGTGTTCAACTTCGATGCGATGCGACGCTTCAGGACGATGTTCGTGTACCTGACGACGAGCCACCGCGACCAGAAGGTGAGGAGGCGTGCGCGGAAGTGAAGATTGGAAGAAAATTTAGAATAAATGGGGGAATAGAGGAGATAGGAAGAAGGTTTAGAATAGGTGGGGGAATGAATGTGATGTAGGGATGAAATTGAGAATGAATAAAGGAGATAGGAAAAAAAATCAGGACGATGTTTGTGTACCTGACGACGAGCCACCGAGACCAGAAGGTGAGGAGGCGTGCGCGGAAATGAAGGAGATAGGAAGGGAATTTAGAATAAATGGGGGAATAAGGCAGATAGGAAGAAAATTTAGAATGTGTGGGGGAATGAATGTGATGTAGGGATGAAATTGAGAATGAATAAAGGAGATAGGAAAAAAATTCAGGACGATGTTTGTGTACCTGACGACGAACCACCGCGACCAGAAGGTGAGGAGGCGTGCGCGGAAGTGAAGGAGATAGGAAGAGAATTTAGAATAAGTGGGGGAATAGAGGAGATATAGGAAGGAAATTTAGAATATGTGGGTGGATAGAGGAGATAGGAAGAATATTTTTAATAAGTGGAGGGATCAATGTGATGTAGGAATAAAATAGTTTGAATAAGAATAAATGTAATATAGGAATGGAATGGTTAGAATAAGTAGGTGAATAAATGTGATGAAGGAATGAAATGGATAAGACAGATAGAGAAACAAGAATGATTTGTTGAAATGATGCAGTGAAATTTTGGAAAAATAGAAATGATGAAATGAAATGTGAATTAAAGGATGTGTGAAATGTAAAAAAAGATAAAAAGAAAAAGGATTGAATGAAGTAAAAAAAAATAAAAAATAAAAACAGGATAAACATCGTGTAAACAAACCTGTATATATTAGTAAACGAATTTTGTGTTAGGTTTGTTGACATTTTTTCCTGTGTTGCACAATCTGCTTTATTTTTGATTTCCAGAATGCAAAGAATCCGCCATATAAAAAAAGAAAAAAAAATATATTTATATACATATTAAAGAAAACATAGAAAAAACTCATATAAGTATAAAAAATATTTTTTCGTACAGGAGAAATATATAGAATATATAAATATAAATAAGAAATTAAAAATATTGTTGGTTGCAGCCCGCCATCTCAGCCACCGTGAAATTTGGCGCCAACTCCTCCTTTTTCGATGACGTGGCTGTGACTTCGGCTTGGAGTGAGTCCGACCTGATCCCGACCGGGCCTCAGAACTTGACCTTTGACCTCCGCAAGCGACCGGGAGCTTCTCTTCAGGTCACCCTCGAGGTTCGAGCGATGGAAGTGTCCATTCAGGAGATATACTTTGATTCCAGTAAGTGTTGACGG